TGCCCTTGTCCCTGACTCCTTTGGAAAACTCATTTTGAATTGCTTTCCAAGTAGGCACCCATCACACACCTGATTTGGATGATTGATGCATGGTAATCCTCTCACCATTTCTTTCTTAGAGAGTAGCTCCAAGCCTCCAAAGTTGAGATGTCTATAACGAAGATGCCAAAGCCAAGACTCCTCCTTGTAGCACATCTTAAGACATTTTGCGATGTCATTTTGAATGTTAAGAACAAACATTCTATCTTTGACATCGGCACCTTGGTGATGAGATTGTTAGTTTGATCTCTTATAGAAAGGCTATTATCTTTTAGTCGAATATCATAACCTTTCTCTAAGAGTTGTCTAAGGCTCAAGATGTTGGTCTTCATACTTGGAATATAGTAAACGTTGGAGATGAATTGATGATCTCCATTCTTCATTCGGATGAGAATTTTTTCTTTACCTTTCACCTCCATCTTTGATTCATCTCCTAAGGCCATGTTTCCTTTCACTGATTCATCGAGCTCCACGAACATGCTTCTTTTCCCGCACATGTGATTGCTTGCACCGCTGTCAAGGTACCACTTGTGGAAATCATCTCTTTCATCCTTCTTGTACGCCATTAATAACATATCTTCTTCTTGGCTTCTTTCTTCAGCATAGTTGAACTTCTCTTCAACTCTATTGTTGTTTGGAGCTTTGCATTCAGAAGCATAATGTCCAAACTTCCCACAATTATAGCATTTGACATTTGATTTGTCGTACCTTGGTTTTGGAGATCCTCTCCCACGTCCTCTTGATGAGCTTTCTCCTCTTTGGTTAGTCTTGTCTTCATAGGACCTCCAGCCACGTCCATTTCCATAACCACAACCTCTTCCTCGTCCTTGACCGCCACCTCTTCTTGGATGACTTCGGCCGCTTCCATCTTTGGTTTGATCAATTTGCATCTTGAGTACTTGTTCTGCAAGGTCTTCTTTCTTCTTCTTCTTTTCTTCATAGGCTTGTAGTGATCCTAGTAGTTGCTCCACTGTCATATCCTCCAAATCTTTCGTCTCTTCAATGACAGTGACAATATGCTCAAATTTTGAATCCAACGATCTAAGAACCTTCTCCATGATTCTTACTTCATCTAGCTTCTCCCCATTCCTCTTTAGGTTATTAGTAACCGCTAGAACTCTTGAGAAGTAATCTTGGACAAGTTCACCTTCCTTCATTTGTAATGCTTCAAATTCTCCTCTTAGAGTTTGAAGACGTACCTTCTTGACTTGCTCTGCTCCCTTGTAAGAAGTTCGAAGCTTCTCACATGCTTCTTTGGCCATCTTTACTCCGGCAACCTTCTCGAATGTGTCTTCATCTAATCCTTGATAGATGAGACAGAGAGCCTTCTTGTCTCTCTTCCTTGAGTCTCTCAAACTGTCTTTTTGAGTTTGAGAAAGACTACCTTCATTCTCTGGTTCAATGTAGCCTTTTTGGACAATCTCCCACACGTCATGTGCTCCTAGAATGGCCACCATTCTTAGACTCCAGTTGTCGTAGTTGCTCTTAGTGAGCATTGGAACTTGGAAGGGAACACCATTACTTGCCATCTTTAAGAGAATCTTCTAGCTCTGATACCACTTTGTTGGAAAGAAAAACTTTTAAGAGTGATAGAGAAGGTGTTTAAGAATTTGAAAGACAAAGGAACAAATTTAAGAAGAAGAAAGTTTTAGAACTTAGAGAACTTAGGAACTTCACTTAACTTCCCTTATTATTTCTTTTAGCTTGTTAGTTACAAAATGAGAGAGGAGGTAGCTATTTATAGCCTCCAAAGTATAAAATATCTAAAATATTTTATTCCTAAATCTAGAGAATTCTATCTTAATATCTAGATTATTTTACAACAATTATCTAGAGAAATCTCTAGATATTTATTCTCTACAACTCTCTAGAACATTTTAAGGAGGTGAAAGTGTTAATTTTTCTAGAGAAAACTCTAGAATCTTTGATTAAGCATAATTGGGTTTTGGCCCAATTATTATTGGATCATTAACCCAATATTTAAGCTTGATCCAAAATCAAGTTTATCTTTCAACAGAATTTGAGTATTTCTGACAACCTGAGACACTGGTTTTCGAATTAGAAAAGCAATCGTCTCGGTTTTGTCCTTTGAATCTGCTATTTTACAGATAGCTAATGCCAATCTTTGAAAATAACTGTCCATCGACTTCAATAAATCAAACAATAAAAATAAAGAACAATTAGAAGAACTTACTTTTGACGCGAAAGAATAAACAGACCATAAAAATAAGAAAGAAACATTACCTCTCTTCGAGAGGATCGAGCTTAGCCCAGCAATCACGATAGCTTGTGACTTCCTCAATCGGTTTTCCCATATAATTTGCAATTTTCTCCGATCTATCCGATTTTGCAATTAGTTGGAGAAAGCAAACAAGGAAAGGGCACAGGTTATATAGTAATATTGTTATCAATTTCTAATTATATTAAAGCTCATTAAAGGGCCTGTAACGAAAAAGCCCAATTAAACCTAATTAAACTGGATTTTTAAAGTAGGCTTTTAAAAATTTTAATTTTGCAACTGACCAAGATTGATTTTCCCTCTCACAATGTCCAATTTCTCCCCAAAAGCCAGTTGCCTCCACGTCACACAAGTGTTGCGAAAAGATCATACAAAGCTTTGACTCCGCATATCAAATCTCCGAAATGAAAACCCTAAGCGAGGGAATTGAATATATGTATGCTGCTTGTAAAAAGAAGAAGAAGATGAGGAAGGAAAAGTGAGCAAGAAAAGATAGTTAGTTATGCAACAAGGCTAATCTTATAATCTTAACACAGACACAGTGTATCTTGGCCAATAACAAACTTACACGTCATAAATGTATTAGGCAAACTCCATTCAAGCAATAAGGTTTTATTAATTGGGTTGTAACTTTTAACTGTTAGTCCAATTATTTAATTGTGTCTTAGTTCTATTTAACACTATTAGAACTTTTTTGTTTAACGAAGCCCAACGTAGTTTTCGTAGTTCAGACATTTATGTTGAAAGATGGGTTAAACGACAAAGCAAGGTGTTAAAATTGCGAGCTATTACTTCAAAGATTAATGAATACACATGATTCAAGATTAAAATCTTAGCAAATTTGGCGGCTCTTAGACGTTCGACTCAACCACGTTTCACTGCCACATGCATGTCTTCACATCTACTTTGTTGGCAACCTTAAGTCTCGATTTTTTAGGTACTGTTTATAATTTTTTTTTTGGGTGTCATCATCATTCATAACTTTTTGTTATCCAATCTATTCAGGTGGCGAGTGAAAACCACTTTTAGTAACATTTTTTTTTTTTTCATCTAAATTTTATTATCAAAAGAGAAATACATGGTGAAAATATACAAGGTGGAATACAAAGTTGGAATACAAACACACCTAGCCAAAAAAATACAGAAAAGAAGTTCACGACATAAAACTACCACTACTTTAAAGGCAAGAGCAGCTTTCGAAAACACCGAGGAAGGACGAAGGAGAGCAATAAGCACGGTACTACAAGCCCAGAAGCCGCAACAAGTGTAGGACAGAAGAAACAGCGAACTAATAACCCAAATACAACGATTAACATTAAAATAAAGAACCACGATCGAGAATCTAACCCCAAAACTCATAATCTTCAACCCAAAGAGTCTAAATCTAGGACTAAGCATCCCCACAAGAGGTTAGCCTTACAAGAACAGATCTATGAAAAGACAAAGGGTGAAAACTGATTATTCATCTAAGCTAAAAGGCGGAGAAAAGAGACTACTACCATAGATTCAACGAACTCCAATAAAGAAGCTAACCGAATAATAACCTACACCAGAAAACACGACTTGCCGACACATCCTGGAAATAAAAGAGAGCGCAACCGACTTTGAAAACAGCAGCAGCAAAATTACGATAACAACAACCTGCACCTACAAATGACTACAGCAAAACTACAAAGACAAAGCTCAAAAACAGATGAAGAAGCTCTAAACAAGGGAGGATGAGACCAATCAACATGAAGACGGGGCTAATTCGCAGAACCTATCAGAAACGCCACCACCTCAAGAGAGAAGATACGCCGACAAGCTAATGAAACGAACAGAGGACCAGGCTAGGGGCAGATAGAAACTGAAATGAAACCCTAAGGTCCGAAATCAAATCTGAGAAAACCAGCAGAGCACAAAATCTCAGCAACTAGGTCAAAACCCAGGCGATAGCTTGAACCAACCCAATCAACAACTCGCCATCGAGACCCAACACCTAGAGAAGAAACTCCATCCACTACGCCCAAATCACACAAAGGAGAAACAGATTCAAACCAGGGTGAAATCCAAGAGCAAAAGCGAAAGAAGATAAGACGAAAGCAAAAAAGAAACCAAGGCATGGCGCCGGAGAGAAGCTCCGGACACCGACCTAACCATATCTCATATTAATCGCCTTTTTTATCGCTTTTGAGAGAAACAAAATAAAATTCGTTTTTGAGAACCGTATTTTTTCACTTTTAGTAGCATTTAGAGGTGATAAAAATTAATTTATTAATTTGTTAAAAGGTTTTGTAAAGAAAAATAAGAAACAAAATTCTGATAAAATAAGTAAGAGGAAGAGCGCGGAACTCGAACGCGTTACCTAAATTTTTTGAAGAGACAACATTAACCAAATTAACCATCAAAATAAGTACAATTCATATTAAAAAAAAAAAAATTCTATGGGCTACTCGAGTCCTTGGATTAGGCTTAACATTTAATGATAAAATCATAATTTTTGCAGTGATTAATCTTTTTACGTAAATATATTATGTTTTTATAGAAAATGCAACAAAATACGCGGTCTTGTATGGTTATTGCGTAACTTTATAAAAACCTACACAAAGGAAAAATTCATAAATTAATCGTTTACTAGAATTCACTAAACCACTCGACAATTTTCAAACTTTCATTCATATAAGCACACACATCGTTTTCATAATTTAAGGAACAAAAACGCAAAAAGATAAAGAAATTAAATTTAAACCCTTGGCTTAACCATGGCTCTCAATGGTTTCTTCATCACTACCGTGAACTCCAATTTCCCGGCGAAATCAATTTCGTTTCCCGCCGGAAACGCGCTCCACTCAAACTCTTGAACCATTTTTGCAAGCATCAAGTGGACATGTACGGTGGCCATCGCTAGCCCGGGACAGATCCGACGACCAACGCCGAACGGCATCATCTTCACTCCGGTTACGCCGGTTATGTCCGCATCCTCCTTACCCGAAATAAACCGATCCGGGTCAAATTTCTCTGGGTTAGACCAAATCTTCGGATCCTCGTTTATTCCTGGGAGATAAAACTCGACGTTGATCCCGACGGGAATATCGTAGCCGGCAACCGTCGTCGGCTCAGTCACTGAGTGAGTCAACGTGAAGTAAGTCGGTGGATGTTTCCGGAGAATCTCCTTGACGAAGACTTGTAAGAAGACCATTTTGTCCACGTCTTTTTCTTCAACCGCACGATCTCCCACCGTTGATTTGATCTCATCGTAAAGCCGAGACTGAATCTCCGGATTCGCGATCAGCTGCGCGATGCCCCACTCGATCGCCGTCCCCGTCGTGTCAGTACCTCCGTTGAGAAACTCAGAGCAGAGCGTCACGAGCTCTTCGTTAGACGGCGTCGTTTTACGACCTTCGATTTTTAGGTCGAAGAGTGTATCGAGGTAGGAGAAAGACGTCGCCGTTTTATCCGATCCCGGATTCTGAATCGCTCTCCGTCGTCTCTCGATGAATCCGACGACGAGATCGACCTGTTCACGGCGAACCTCGAGAGCTCGTTTTCTCTCCTTGGAGTAAAACGGAGCAAGGATCGGGAGATAATCGTCGAGTCGTGGATCGATAGTGATCACCACTTTCTTCATCATCAGATCCATTTTCAAAATCGATTCCTCATCCATCTCGATTCCGAAACACATTTCCAAGAGAATGCAAAACGCAGCGAATCTAGCGTTTCTCAGGACCCAAACAAGCCCGTTGTTATCACTAGCCTCTGATTTGATCCTCTCAGCGAGCTTATCCATGGCGGATTGCCTCAATGATCCGAATTCCTTGAACCGGGTCGAGCTCAGCATGTTCTGTACCATGTTCCGTCTCAGCGACCGCCACACGGGTCCGTAAACGGAAGCGTTAACGGTGAAAGTGTTGGAGCTGAAGATGGTCCGGGTCGGGTTCTCTTTGGGTCGGGTTGCGAACATGGGCCCACGTTGAATCAGAACATCGTGTGCGAGTGTCGCATCAGAGATGATGATCATCGTGCGACTCCCCATCCTTAACGTGTAAATCGGACCGTATTTTTTCCTCAAATCATCGGCGTACTCGTAGAATTGCTTCCCGGAGCGCGCAAATTGGAAGAGGTTTCCGACCACCGGCCAACCCGGAGGACCAGGAGGAAGCTTCACGCGCTTCGATTTAGTACTACGGCGCATGATAATCAATGATAGAACGAAACCGGATACGAAAATTGCCATGATAGTGAAAAAAAGTGAAGGGGAGATGTTAAAGGAAGTGAGAGGAAACGAAAGGAGAGACATTTTTTGCACCCTTTTTTTAGTTCTTTTGCTTTTCACCGAGCTTGGTATCTATGGAGGATGTAGAATGAGTGGGAGAGAAGAGGAAGGTATAAAAACAGAGTAGAGCATGAGAATTTAGGTGAGGAGAATTTAAAGTAATCAGAGTCTTTTCGGTTTTGTGATTCAAGTCATTTAATTTTAAGGCTACGTTTGGTACGAGAAGTACGATGAAATCTATCAAAGTGGTTCTTTCATCATGAGTTAGTAGATGTAAACTTGTTTTGATATAAGCCGTTGATTAGATAATCGTGGGGTCGATTGCTAACACAGTTCTGTAGGTTTTAGTATCATTGCATTTTAAACGTGATTTTGCCTGTCAAAAAAAATAAGTATATGAAATCTTCCCTTAAAAACTATATTTCAGTGTTTTAACATCTTATTTGGTAATGGCTACTCGACTACTCCATTTTTTTTTAATAAATGTAAAGTTAATTCAAACAAAAAAAACGTTTTTACAAACCATTGTTACCATTCAGTGAATGAAATTAATGTCAATTTTAAACAAGAAAAGCATGATTCGACTTTTATAGAAGTAATAATTAATAATCTCACTGTTTTAGGTTGAGTCACAGCGCCAGAACAACTTCTTCGATAATCAATCAACAATCAAAATTATTCTGGGATAAGTCTAATTTTAAATCAATTGAGAAAAGCCCAATTCATCATCATAATTATTGAAATTTGACATTTTTTCAACAAAAAACCACTTCTAGGTGAAGATGATCTCAATTGTTATTAGATATGCTCACTAATAAGAGTATGATTTTGCTTCTATGTTTTAGAAAAGATGCATATCTTATTTGGCACATCTTGGTACGCTTTTCTTGATGATTGTGTTTTCTGTGTGATAGGTAAAGATACACCAATGTATGAGATGGTAAACTTTACTGTTGCTGCAAAACTAGAAGAATATGCAGAATAACCTGAGGACTTACCTAATGGTACTAAAATCAATGAAGAAAATGTTGTATATATGTGGAGCTTTCGACATTAATTGTTGATTTCTTTGCTAATGGCTAATCTTTTACATTATATTTTATTACGTTTCTATCATATTACTAGAGATACTTTATCGGAACCATCTCATTATTTTTTTCTTGAGTATGTTACGTTATTAATAGTCATTTTTACTTTAAATGTTAAAAAATAGTATAAATAATATTAATAATTTTTTCAATAATAATTATCAAGATTAAAGATGAAACATGAATAGGTGCAAATGATGGATAGGTGCAAATGATGTACCACAAAATATATTTTTCATTGTATATAGAGCTAGAAGTATACATATAGATCATATATTATATGATCGATGCTAGAAAATTGTGGAATCAGTCAACTACTATTCTTCAATTTCATGAAATGGTTTTATGTTTGCTTGAAACTGCGACCTAGCTGAATCCACAAGTCATAATAACTAATGACTTTCTCATATAGTACATTTCTCCTTAGTTGGAGCAACATCAAAGAGAGTCAACTCACTACAAAATCCCAAATTATCATCAAATTAACAAAAACTAACCTGACTTCTAAATTTAGCAAAAACTAATGTGACTTACTTCTGTTTGATTGTTGTGTTCATCGGCGCCAAAATTTGAATATTGCTCACAACCTCAACACTGGTTTTTGAATCAGAAAAGCAATGGACTCTTTATTGTCTTCTGAATCTGGTACTTTAAACATCGTTAATGCCAATTTTTGAAAATTTTCAACGGTTTATTAATTTCAATAAATAAATAAATAAAAAATGAAGAACAATAAAAAAATTCTTTTGACATGAAGAAAGAAATAGACAAAAAAAGAAATATGAAAAATGATAAATGTCTCCAAATTTTTGAAAAAGAAGAAAGAAAAGACAAAGCAAATAATGAACGATTATATAAATCTAGGATTTTCCACATAGCTAATGCCAATCTTTGAAAGTTTTCAACAGTCCATTGACTTCAAAAAATAAATAAATACAAATAAAAAAGAATCAGAACAATTTATTTTTGATGCGAAAGAAGAAATAGACAAAAAAAAAGAATATGAAAAAAGAATGATAAACGTCTCCAAATTTTTGAAGAAGAAGATGAATGAAAAGACAAAGCAAATAATGAGTGGGTATATAAACTGGGCGGGCTTAAAGAACGTGATGCGTATGTTATATACTTTTGTTGTTATCAATTTATGATTACATTAAAGCCCATTAAAGACGAGGCCCGTAATGAAATAAACCCAATTTAATTTGTTATTTTTTTATCCGCTAAAATTTTATTAATTTTAAAAAGTTTTTACATAGACAATATACAAAATTATTCGAGCACAAATTATTACATATAAGTCATCTGAAAAATATACAGCAAAAATAAGTTTAACCATGCTTTTCGAAAAGTAATCGTACTCGCTAACCAATAACAAAATCGATTATTATTCAACTCTATATTTAATCTTTCTCTAATGTGATTTGAATGCAATATCTTTTGGCTGAATTTTTTTGCAAATCCTGTCTTGAAACCTAATGTGTCCACAATATATTTTTGAACTGTAGATACAATGGTACCAAATATTCCATACCCAGATCCTTTTAGAATATTGTGACTCTTTGACTTCAAATTCTTCTTTTTCATTCCAACCATTAGTATAGCCTTTGTTCTAACATATGACGGTAAAATCAACACTAAACCCATACCATTTTATAGACCCATCTGAAATATCCGGCATATATGTTTCCAAAAGAGAAAGTATAGAAAGTCGTCTCCATATACTCCAAAGGTAGACAAAGAGACTAAGCGTCTTCTCCTTTCCCGTTCTACTTGTTGGATTTGACTATAATCGGTTACATGCCAATTAACACATGAAAAAAGACTCGAAACCTCAACTAAACACGTATTAGCCAAAATTTTCCACCCAATGCTCTTATTCGATGCAAGTTAAGGTTTACAATGCATGTGTTTACTATACTGTACTAGTATAATGCAAGTTGCAGCGCCTCCACCATTAAAACCCAAGTACAGTATAGTAAAGTGCCAATGCATATTCGAATTTTAAATGGATTTTCAATTCATATGATTTTTAATTCCGCGGGTTTTCAATTTCGAGACCTAGATTTCACCATGGCTCTCAACGGCTTCTTCATCACCACCGCAAACACCAACTTCCCGGCGAAATTTACGTCGCTTCCCGGTGGATATGCGCTCCACTCGAACTCCTGAACCATTCTCGCTATCATCAATTTCACGTGAACCGTCGCCATTCCCATCCCCGGACATATCCGACGGCCAGCACCGAAAGGCATCATCTTTACTCCGGCTACGCCAGTTATATCGGCGTCTTCCCTCCCCAATACGAACCGGTTCGGGTCGAACCTTTTCGGATCGGGCCATATCTTCGGATCTTCACTGATTGCAGGAAGATAGAACTCGACGTTAACCCCAACAGGGATGCTATAGCCGGCGAGAGTCGTCGCTTCCGTCACGCCGTGGCTTAACGTGAAGTAAGTGGGTGGGTGTCGCCGGAGAATCTCCTTAACGACGCCTTCTAAAAAGACCATTTTATCCACGTCCTTTTCTTCGACCGTACGATCTCCAACCGTTGATTTGATCTCATCGTACAGTCGAGATTGAATTTCGGGATTCGCGATCAGCTCTGCGATTCCCCACTCGATTGCCGCTCCCGTCGTATCCGTACCGGCGTTGAGAAACTCCGAGCAAAGCGTCACGAGATCCTCGTCAGACGGTGTCGTTTCCCTTCCTTCGACGACTCTGAGATCAAAGAGAGTGTCTAGATACGAGAAAGACGACGCCGTCTCGTCGGATCCCCCTGGATTCCGAATCGCGTTCCTCCGCTTCTCGATGAATTCGACGACGAAATTCACCAGTTCCCGCCGAAGCTTCAGAGCGCGATTTCTCTCACCGGAGTTAAACGGCGTTAGAATTGGGAGGTAATCGTGGAGTTTTGGATCGACGGCGTGTAATATCGCCGTCATCATCTGATCCATCTTCTCGATTGATTCCTCCTCCATCTCAACTCCGAAACACATATCTAACAGAACACAAAACGAGGCGAATCTGCTGTTTCTCAGAACCCAGACAAGTCCTTCGTTGTCTCTAGCCTCCGATTTGATCCTCTCGATAAGCTTGTCCATGGCGGATTTTCTCGCGAAACCAAATTCCTTGAGGCGATTCGAGCTCAGCATGTTCTGAACCATGTTCCGCCTCAATGACCTCCACACAGGTCCGTACATGGCGGAATGCACTGTGATTTCACTGGAGCTGAAGATTTTCCGGGTCGGAGTTTCGACGGGTCGGGTCGCGAATTGTGCCCCACGCTCGATCAAGGCCTCGTGTGCGAAACTCGCGTCGGAGATGATGATCATAGTCCGACTCCCTAGCCTGAGAGTAATAATTGGACCGTAGATCTTTATCAGATCCTCGACGTACTCGAAGAACTGCTTCCCGGAGCGCGCGAATTGAAACAGATTTCCGATCACCGGCCATCCTGGTGGTCCCGGTGGAAGGGTTTTACGGTTTGACTTGTGATTCCGGCACGTGATAATTATTAAAACTAGACCCGTTATGAGAATCGCCAATAGGGTTAATAAGCCATTAGGGAACAAGTCAAGAGAAGTCGGAGAAAGTGATAGGAGTGACATTTTTTTGTTTTTTTTAGCTAAAGAAGAGTAGAGGAAGCTTATTATATAAGAGAGTAAAATATTAGTAAATGTGTGAACTATTATTATTAGACCAATCGAAGATGTTATATACTTATAACGGTCGGTTACTTGACATGCAAATCTTTGATGATTGTTTCTCTTATTTCTTTACATTATTGCTTTCATTACACATTCGTATTATTGCTTACCATCTCTATGTATAAGTTAACTATAACAAAATCATATTTTTAAACCGTTATACGTTATATATATATATATATTGCTAAAAAATTGAAATCCATTCAACAGTGAAAACTGGTTGAGTGAGATTCTCTTAGAGAGTGTTTGATTATTTACTAATTGCATCAAATTTATCCAAAATGTTATTACATAAACCACCCAAAGTACACAAAAATGCATCACTTGGTGAATTGTACGAGGATGCGAGATATGAAAGTGGTGAAAAGTGAAAACAAGTCATGTGTAATTTTGACCTAAGTTAGAGTAAGAGGCAACATGCTATGTGTTTAAGTTGACTTTGGTTTTCTAAGTGTTTCAAAATTTGACAGATAAGTGGCGGAAAAAAGTAGATTAAATTTCTGCGGACATATCATTTGGATTGAAGTGGTGGAATTTACGATGAGTTGGGAGAAATTGTAAAGTGATCTTACATTGGAAAATGATGCAATAAGTAGTATAACGATACAGCTTGCAAGTATTATGATCCAGCAACACTCTTCCCCAAGTACTATCATTGACATTTTCAAACATAAGACTGATAATAATAGCATTGTTATTAGTTGGTTTTCTCAGGTTAAAGTCAGATTCTCTGCTCTACTCCAAACATAGCAACACTTTAGATTATCTGTTCCTGATCTTTTGTGCAAATAGCTGATACATTACCATTCCCAAAAAGAAAGTAATTATTTCATCCATACACAAATCCAAAATACCAAAAAAGGAAAAAAAGCTAAATGCTTATTGATCATCTCGACTCAAGTAAACTGTAAAAAGATAGAAATGTCGATCATATACATACTACGAAGAGTAAGAGTCCGACAAGAGAATAGATCATTTGTGTTGCGAAATCCGTTCAAGAGTGAAAACTGATTAAGTGAGATTCCCTTAGATGGGAGTGTTTAAAAACTTACTAATTGCATCAAATTTATCCAAAATGTTACATAAATCCCCCAAAGTACACAAAATATCTTACTTGATGAATTAGTACGAGGATACAAAATATGAAAGTGGTGAAAAGTGAAAACATGTCATGTGTAGTTTTGACCTAATGGTTAGAGTAGGAAGCAACATGCTATGTGTTTAAGTTGATTTTGGTTTTCAAGTGTTTAAAATTTGACATATAAATGATGGAAAAAAGTAAATTAAATTTCTGCGGATATATCATTTGGATTGAAGTGGTGGAATTTGCGTTGAGTTGGGAGAAATTGTAATGTGATCTTACATTGGAAAATGATACGGTAAGTAGTCTTGCGATACAGCATGCAAGTATTATAATCCAGCAACACTCTTCTTCAAGTACTATCATTGACATTTTCAAACACAAAACTGATAATAATAGCATTGTTATTAATTGGTTTTCTCAGGTTGAAGCCAGATTCTTTGTTTAGCAACACTTAAGATTATTTGTTCCTGATCTTTTGTGCAAATAGCTGATACATTACCATTCCCAAAAAGAAAGTAATTATTCCGTCCATACACAAATCAAAAATACCACAAAAAAAAAAAAGTCTAAATGCTTATTGATAGTCTCGACTCAAGTAAACTGTAAAAAGACAGAAATGTCGATCAAATACATAATCTTTTCTGCATCAGATGTTACCGAAGAGTAACAGTCCGACAAGAGAATAGATCATTTGTGTTGCATAATTCCAAAAGAAGAGCTTTCCTTGTTTTACTGGGGAGATCCTTCGTATGCATTTATGAGCTCCTTGAGTTTCTCAAATCCCTGAAATATATATCAGTTAGACATAGTTAACTCTCTATGCTTTCTCTAGAATATTTCTCAAAATCATGAGAATGCAACCAGAGTCGTCTGGAAATTCTTACCATGCGAGTTGTGTATTCTCCAAATGACTCCTTCGATTGTCTCCCGATCTTCCAATTGTAGAACAATGGCTCAAAGACTTTCTCAAAGTCATGAATCTTCACCTTGTCCATAAAAGCCCTCGCTATCTGTGTCTGGTTCGGTGTTCCTCCTAACCATACCTGCAAGAAACAACAGCAACACAATGAGCTTTATTTCTATTGGAACTCATTGAAAAAGCTAGCCAGAGAGAGATTAGTTACCTGATAGCTGTTTGGACCATCCCCGACTAGACCGACTTCAGCCATGTATGGTCTAGCACATCCATTAGGGCAACCTGTTACTCTTACCACAACGGATTCATCATATTCAAGACCCACCTGAAACAAAGAAAGAGTTTCCACATCAACCGTGGTTGTGGCACAAACCTGAGCGGAGTTATCTTTCTAGCAAGTATCCATGAGATCTTACCTTCTCAAACATTGCTCGCACTCGTTTTAGAATGCTGGGTATCCCACGCTCTGCCTCGGTTATAGCTAGTGGGCACAAAGGAAAAGCTGGGCAAGCCATTGCAGTTTGGTTGAGAGGGTCTACAAACTCTGGTTGCTGCTCAAAGTTTAACAAGTAGGCTTTGTCAACTTAAAGTAACACTGTATAGAACTAGTGTGGTCAAAACTGAATTTTTGGGCATCCCATGGGGAAAACAAACCGCTTACCAGTAAGCCCGCCTGAGCAAGCACCGTGGTGATGGAACGCTTCCATTCGCTCTTGATATCACATAATACGATGTTTTGATTGGGCGTGATACGCACATCAAGCTTGTACTTCTCGATCACTTCTCTCAGTGTCTTTTTCATTTGACCTCCAACGCGACCACTGTCTACATGAAGCCCACAAAACCAAGCACCATCTCCCTGCAGGTTTCATAGATGACGGACCAAGAAAAAAGATTAATTGATAACTATGAGGAGAGTAGAAGCTCTGTAACATTCATTCCGCAAAATTGGTCGATGACTAACCTGCTCATGCCATCCCAAATAACTCTTGAACTCCCACTCTGGCAAATCACGCGAAGACTCAAACTTTTTACCATAATATTGCTCAACCACATCTCTAAACTTCTCAATTCCCCAGGAGCTGATCAAATACTTCATTCTACTGTATTTGCGATCATCTCTTCTCCCGTGTTCTCGCTGTGTGACAACTATGGCCTTCACAGCATACAAAATATCCTCCTTAGGCACGTAACCTAATGGTTCCGCAATGCGGGCAAAAGTTGACTCCATTCTGTGTGTTCTTCCCATACCTCCACCAACCTGAAACAGAAAAAAGTAAGCCAAAAACAGTCCATGAGCAGACTCAAAGAAGATTAAGTGGAGAAGACTAAATGGATTCTGGAGATGATGAAGCAAATGTGGAGACTTACATAAATATTGAAACCCTGAGGTTCCCCATTTTCATCTGAAACAACAACAACGCCAATATCATTGGTGAGGAGATCGACAGAGTTATCTGTAGGCACGGTGACAGCAATCTTGAACTTCCTTGGCAAGAACTGGGTGCCATAAATAGGCTCAGGAGAGTCAACAAAGTTAGTTCCATGAGAGTTATCATTTCTGGCCTTCACAACCTCAGGTGGCTCAGCTGTCAAAAACTGCTCTCCATCAACCCACATGTCATAGTAGAACCCTGACTGAGGACTGAGAAGAGCCGCGATGTTGTCCGCTGTTTCTTGCGCAAACAGATAGTCTTTCTTGACATAAGGCGCAGCGGGAGCAAGAACATTTCTATTCAGATCGCCACAAGCACCAAGAGTGCTACCCATGTTTTTTATAATGGAGCTCATCACGGTCTTGAGATTCTGCTTCACAACACCATGAAGCTGAAACGTTTGCCTAGTGGTCAAACGAAGCGTACCGATGCCGAACTCGTCGGCTAAGTCATCCATGGTCAAGTAGAGCTGGTTTGGGACCTTGCCACTTGGGTTCTTGGTACGGAGCATGAAGGAGTAGGATCTCCCACCACGTTCCTCTCTGTTGTACTGTTGGTAGCTGCCATGGAATTTGATGAGCTGCACGGCGGATTCATTGACGTTTGGAGCCTCTGTCAAAAGCTCCTCGTTAAGAGGATACCTAATGAAATTACTCTTCTCCTTGATGATTTCAACCTTACTCCTCTTGGTGGTTTTTGCCGTCTCAGGCTTCGCCGGCTGAAGAATAAAAATCACAAAACAACACCACAGATTAGCTTCTCTCGTTGCTGTCTAACACTTAAACTTCAACCCAGAATAGTCGCAACACAAAACCCAATCACACCAATCAAATCGTATCATCGCCCAAAAGCATCATCGATCGTAAAAAAAGATCTAGATTTTCCAAATAGATACCATGATTAATTTGCAACACAGTTGTAACAAATCACGGAGCCCAGAAACCAGTTCTCCACGATTAGAATCAGATAAATTAACGTTTCCATTAGAACAGATTCCAGAGAAATTCAACATTTCCATGGAACAAAATCTACTCTTAAGAAGGAATTTTATCAACGCTACAGCTAAATCAGGCAAAGGTATCAATTCTCACCGTAGAGACGGCTTGGATTGATGAAGAAGACGATGAAGATGGAGGCACCGAATGGAGACCGCGCACATTTCTTCCCAGGAAAATCGTACGAGAGGACCTCAAAGCGTCGAGTCTCCCAAGACGGATCTTCTGATCGGCGGAAAACAAAGTGGCGGCGCCCGCCGGAGATCGAAACGACGTTGTCATCGCTTCAGATGGAGAGAGATTGAGAGAGATACTGAGAAAGCTCTGCGTTTTTAGTGGTCATATAAGAAAGAAGACATAAATATTTTTAAAATGAAGAAAGGAAAAATATATTTAGAGACCACGGTCAAAACTAATGTGCGCAGTCATGTGCATGGCACGAGACGATAAAATCTGAGGTGAGTAACCGA